TGGCTGGTTGGTTGTTGGTTGGTTGGCTGGTTGGCTGGCTGGCTGGCTGGTTTTCTTTTTATAGCACCCACCTTGCTGAGGGCCACTCTGGGTAGTTTACAACAAAACACACAACAGCATAATTAAAATACTAATTTGACAAAAACAGAATAAAATATAAAACAGTACAGAATGCATTAAAATACATATATATAAATGTTCTTATATAAGAACATTTAAAATGGCAGAATTAGTCAGATTAAAGCTAAAATAAATCCAGCTGTCCACAGGTATAATATTTTGAAATGCCTGCCGGAATAACAGGATTTTTGGTGACTTTTTAAATCATCACCAGAAAAAGCATTGACCTGGAGTCCCCCACAAGAGGCCAACAGGACTGGCATCCATAGTGTAGCTGCAGAGGTGCTGGCGCACGTTCCTTGTGAAAAATCAACAGGAAGTAACCGTGTCATCACTTTCTAGCCATGCTTCCCAAGAAATAGCTCAGTGGTATAAGCAGCCAGAGGTTGGGAGTTTGATTCCCCCACTGGGCCTTCCTTGACAGAGGTTGACTGGATGATCCAGAGGGTCCCTTCCAGCTCTACAGTTCTAAGATGATGATGATGATGATTCTGGTGCAGTATCTTGGAGCCACTGTCCCTCCCTGAGCAGTTTTCCCTGCTAAGATGCAGGAAATGGAGAAAAAGGTTTCCTGTGCGTTTAATGCCCTCTTCTTCTTTTTACAGGTTTTTCCTAGAAAGCTGGTGGCTTTTTCTACGTGGATTGACCGGACCCGATGGGCCAGGAATACATGGGCCATGTCCGCCATTTTTATCCTTACCATGGCAGACATTGTTGATATGGTAAGCAAGGCGTGGAATTAAAAACAGCAAACCCCACCCAACCTCCTTTTTAAAAAAAAGTCTTTGTTCTGTTGAGTCAACGTCCAGAGAGCGCTGTGGAAAATAAATGGCATTCTAGGGCTATTGGTCCCCGTCTGAGGTAAGTGAAGATCCCTGAGATTTTCATGAAGGTTTGAGTTGGCTTGCTTAAAGACATTTTGGTGATATGTTCAGTTAGTATTAATTTTTAATTATTTATTTAAAAATAAATAAAATTATTTATTTAAAATATTTTTACCCTGCTTTTCTCCTAGAAAAGGGCCCAAGGCGACTTACAAAATGGAAAGACAAATTAGAGATGGAGAGAGAGAGAGAGAGAGAGAAAGACATTTAAACAGGGTGTATGATGTTCAAGCGGAGTTGAAGAGATAAGAGAGTTTCTTAAAAATCAAACAGAGGGAAGGGAGGCTGGTGTAAAGTTTGTGAACCACTGCCCTGCGCAGGGCTGTAGGTAAGACGGGGTGACTGGCATTACGGTCCGTGATGCCGAAATAGAGAGGATGCAAATCGTTGCTTGTTGTGGAGTTTTTCAGGCTCTTTGGCCGTGTTCTGAAGGTTGTTCTTCCTGATGTTTCGCCATCATTTCTTCCATTCTTCTGTGATCTCTAGCCAAACAGATTCAACAGCTTCAGCAGAGCCTCGAGCAGGACAAAAATGAAGGGGTGGCTCTAACATCCAACTTTCCGTTCTCCGGCTAGAATGGGAATCCCGGGGACTCATTCGTGAGATAAAGTGGGTCATGGAACCCTAGAACGATGGAGTCGGAAGGGGCCTCAAAGGTCATTGAGTCCAACCCTCTCTGCTCAAGGCAGGAATGGAAGTCAAAGCAGACCTTTGGCCGAGGGTGGCCCAAGTTTCTCTTGAAGGCCTTCCGATCCTGGCCGTCCCCAGTATGGCTCCCTTTCAAGTATTTGAAAAGTCCTCTCCATGCAACATGGGAGTTCTGTTGCTTTTTAGCCCAGTGCACTTTTCACGTTGAGAAGGGCAGAGCATAAGGGTTGGTGACGGGAGAAGAAGCCATTTAACTGTTGTGCGTCTCTTTCTCTGTCTGTTGTCTTCTCCTTTCTGCCTTCGGAGAGAGCCTTCGGAGAGGCCTTAAGCACACTCTCTGCTCCTTCCTTCCCCTTCGCTCTTCTCCTCCGACCGGCTGCAGCCTCCGAAGGCCGTTCTTTATTTAGAATGGAGCAAATACTGGGGGGAACCAAGGCCCTGCCCAAGAGTCTGTCTTCAACCACGAGCCTGTTGTGGTTTTATTTAGAGCAGAGTGACACTGAACCGAGACATCACCCTGCCAGGACCACCACTACCTCTCCTCCTCCTCCTCCCTCTCGGGCAGCATTCAGTGTAGACATCATCCTGCAAGGACCACCACCACCTCTCCTCCTCCCTCTCGGGCAGCATTCAGTGGATGTCTGTTGCCAACTTCCTCTTTCTGTGCAAGCCAATAATTGTTTACAGAACTGTGCGGTGGGGGATCATTAAGGGGAATTAGCAAAAGGCCAGCTGCCGCTGATTATTTTTAGAAACTGTTAATAATTGGCCGGACCTTGAACTTTCCTGTACTGAGGCTGATGTGGAAATGCTGCCATTTCCGTGCTTTGAAACCTTGGGGAGTGTTCAGAACAAGAGAGGGAAGGAGGAGGAGGAGGAGGAGAGAGCTTAATCTATACTTGCCTCCCCCTTATCTTTTTTTGGGGGGGGGGAAGCCTCTCCCATGGAAAAGCTCTTTGCAATCGTCTCCCTTAATTCGTCACCCTTGCTATCTATGGGACTACAACTCCTATCGGGCAGCATGGCCCTACCACTGTCCGAACCCAAAGTCCTTTAGGTAGGTTTTGGCTACCGCTCTCGTCATTGCTAGATGGCATGAACGACGCTCACGATGCCTGTGGATGATGGGTCGTGTAAGCCAATCCATCTAGAGGCCTTTCTGATGGGCAAAATTTGGAGCGTGCTCTGCTGGTGCTCCTGTCTTCGGTACGAAGGCAGGGGGGAGGCTGCGTTTCCCAGGAGAATACTGCTCTAGGGTTGCTGTTGCTGCCCCATATTTTATGTGCCAGAGCCAGCCCTGCTGTTAAGCAGGGTGAGGCAGCCACCCTCGGCAGCAGATTTGGGATGGAATTAAAGGCAGCCCATGGTTAGCTGTTGTCGTTGCATTGTTACTGAGAGAGAGTCATCCTCCTCCTCCTCCTTGTCGCCATCAACATATTAGAACGGCAAAGCTGGAAGGGACCCCTAGGGTCATCCAGTCCAGCCCCTGTCGAGAAGGCCCCGTGGGGGGAATCGAACTCGCAACCTCTGGGCCTGCAGCCGGAGACCTCAACTACCGAGCTCTCCAGCCGTTTGAGGCAAGCATCTGCAGGATTTCTTTGCCTCAGGCACTAAAATAACCTGGTTAGCCCTAGGAGTTATGCTCCATAATTGGCAGAAAAAAAATGGATGGCATGTGCTATTCCACCTCAGACAGCAATGTTTCTTGGGCTGGACCTCATTGGGGCATCTCCATGGAAACCCAGGATCAGACAACGTAGCTATAGAGGTGTATCTATATATACAGGACAGCTGTACAGTGGCGCCTTGCTCAATGATTGCCTCATTAAACGACGAAACCGCTATACAATGACTGTTTTGCGATGTTTTAATAGGCAAAACGATGTTTTAATAGGCAAAATTTGCTTCCCAATGATCGCCTCCGGGAACCGATTTTTCGCTAGACGATGTTTTTAAAACAGCTGATCGGCGGCTTCAAAATGGCCGCCCACTGTGTAAAATGGCTCCCCACTGTGTTTTTGGACAGATTCCTCGCTTTACAGGCACCGAAAATGGCTGCCCCTATGGAGGATCTTCGCTGGACGGTGAGTTTTCAGCCCATTGGAACGCATTGAACAAGTTTTCAATGCGTTTCAATAGGATTTTTTATTTCGCTTAACGAGGATTTCGCTCTACAGCGATTTTGCTGGAACGGATTGTCCTCGTTAAGCGAGGCACCACTCTATAGGTTTACAGCTATATAGGAGAGAGAGCTGAGCTCTACGGTGCTTACGCCATACAGGGCTAGACAAGCATCCCTGAGATAGACAACAGGAGTGCCCAGCTGCTCCATCAGTCTGTCTGGTTTAGCCCCTTGCTTTGAACGGTGGCCAAAGAGCTTCCTATGGGCCGTGAGACCAAGAGCCCTCCGTGGTTCTTCCCCTTCCTGCCAACGGCCGATGCTCAGAGAGGACTTCTGTTTAGGAACCCAGAAGGTTTCCTTCCAGCTCAGGGGGCCTCCTGGATGTTCTGGACTCCGACTCCCATAGTCCTTGACCACCCTAGGATGGTGCCTTTTGAAGTCCTAAACAGATAGAAGGTGAAAGAATCCCCAGGCTTTTCCCTTCATATTTTTGCAAGAGTAGATGCAGGGTCCTGCATCCTGCCATTTTTCACTGGAAACACGGAAAGGGTGAGCAAGGGAGCAAACCTTGAAATGATCCCCAGAGCGGTCAAGATAGGCTATGAAAATAGCTCAAACGTCGTGGTGGGATCCTCTGTCGCTGACCTGGTGGCTCAAGGGAGTTCGGCTTCCAGCGGCCAGGGGGGCTCCCAGAGTGGGTCGCCGTCAATCTTTTTCACGGTCTGTAGGTTTTATTGTATTGCAATGATTCTGTCAGTCTTAATTGATAAGGTTGTTTAAGAAGCAATTATGGTTAATTTGGGTTGCATTTATATTCCGTCCACTGCTGGTTCGTTACTCAAGGCGTCCTTCCTTCCTGCTTCCTCTTCAGAACGATCATATGAGGTAGACCAGGCTGAGAGAAATAGAGAGGGGGGGAACCCTGCCTCAGACTTGCCCAATCAATGTCTCAATTCACTGAATTTATTGTTTTTTAGCAGACAAAACAGCCTGATAAAAGAAGCAGCTAGACGCATAGCAAGGTCCCAGTCAACCTGAGGCACACTTTCAGATTTTAAAAAACCCACAACTTTCAAGTGAAACTGCAATAAAAAACAAAACAAAACTGAATACACTGTAAAAATAAAATGCAGGAGCCTTTTGCAATAACACTGCAAAGTAATGTTAAAAACAATTAAATATTGACAGAATGAAACAGATTTTACGACCCATCTGACTCAATGGGTTGAGTAAGGCCGTTTGTCCAACTTAAAAAAAACAACACAAAACACTAAGCGTTTTTACAGGTTCCAGAAAGATATCCATGTAAAAGAATATTAGGAGAATGTGTAAGCAGTGTAACCAAAGGGCATTATGAGAAATATAAGCCTTTCCCACATGGTGCCAAGCTGGCTGAATAGATCAGTGGGTTGGATGATCTGGAGCCAGAGGTTGGGAGCTGGGTTCCCTACGGTGCCTCCCCCCCATGCGGGGAACCAGTCTGTGTAGCCTTGGGCTGGCTGCATGGTCGTCCGAGAAATGTCCTCAGGAAAAAAAGGAGTGGAAAATCACTTCCAAGTATTCTATATCGGGAAAGCCCTGGAGAGGGTTGGTGTGAGTCAGAGTTGACTTGACGACACGTGGTTATTATTATGATGATCATCATCTCAAAGTTCTAGTGCTCCTTGAAAGCAACAAGGAAGTGGTGCGTTAATTGAGGATGTGGGTGAAGGAAGTGTGATTTTTTCCATAGCAGATTTCTCAAATGGAAGGAAAGAGCCGTGCATCTTTGGCAGAGAACCTAAGCAGGGCAAGGGTGCCTTGATGGGGTCGTCCAAAGGAGTTGGGAATAGTACGGTCGGGTCCTGTGTAGAGCACAGCTTAGAAATTTGATTTCTCGGACTACAACTCCCAGAGTCCCCTCGCCTGCTGAGCTGGGGCAATATTCTGGGTGCTGTCATGGAGAATAGTTGATGTTTTGAAGCTCTGATCTGGCGCGATGGAGGAATTGGGTGGGCTGTGTGGTGCCAAGACGGTTCCCACAAATTTACTCTATGGAATTAAGGGGGACTCTCTCTGCTCCCTCTGAAATGCGTGTGGAGGTGGCTGAAAAGGAACGGTCTTGAACGTGCCGTTTATGGAAAGGCAGTGTCCCCAATAAAAAGATCGACTGAGTGAGCGAGTGAGTGACTGAAAGAGCTCCAGTCTTGAAGCCTTCCCTCCCTTCTGTCTCCACAGCTCAGTTGCCAGCAGTCTTACACCTTTCACAACGGCACAACGCCCGTGCTGTCTCACGGCGGTTGTGTGGAGAACCCCAAGTACTACAGCTACATCGCCGTTTTGGCGCTCATCGCCACCATCATGCTGGTACAAGTGAGCCACATGGTCAAACTCACCCTGATGTTGATGATCACAGGGGCCGTGGGGGTGGTGAACATCCTCGCCTGGCAACAGATCTTTGACGAATACGACGAGAAGCGATTCCGAGAGAGCCAGTAAGAGCTTGTGGAAGCTAGGAGCCGAGCTTGGGAAATTAATGTCCTCCTTTTTTTTGAGGATGATGCTGAGAATCTCTCAGCCAGCAGAGCTGCTGGCCTTATGGGTGGGAAGGGTGGTGTTTCTGGGAATGGGCAGTGCAAGGAAGCAGTGTTTGAAGGTGGCCTGGGAGAATGGGCCAGGGGGGCCTTGGTGCAAGGTTTGGGATGCAGACTGGGCTCCTGTCCTGCAGGGCGAGAGAGGGGACTCGCATTTTGATCTCAGGACAAGCTGCAAAGGGCAACCTCCAGTGTAGTCCTGCCGATGCCAATGAATTAATTGAAGTAAACAATGTACTGTATTTTTCCATGTATAAGACTATACTTTTGTCTAAAATATTTAGACTAAAAATTGAGGGTTGTTTGATACACGGAAGTAAGCTGAGGAGAAAAAAACAAGTGGAAGGGAAAGCAGGGATCAAAGTGATCCTGCAGGGCTTTGATCCCTGCTTCCCCCTCCTCTTGCTAAGCCTTAGCAAAAGGAAAGCAGGGATCAAAGTGCTGCAGGATGGCTTTGATCCCTGCTTTCCCCTCTGCTTGCTAAGTCCCATGGGGTTTAGCAAAAGGAGGGGGGAAGGATCAAAGCAATCCCATGGCTGTATAAGGGGGAAAGGGATCAAAATGGTTGTGCAGTCATGGAATTGCTTTGATCCCTTTCCCTCCTTTTGCTAAGCCACCTGGGGCTTAGCACAAAGGGAGAAAGCAGGGATCAAAGCCATCCTGCAGCACTTTGATCCTTTTTACCCTATATTTGCTAAGCCCCACTTAGATTTCTTAATTTTGGGTGCGTCTTATACATGGAAAATACGGGTAATTTTTTAAAAAAGTTGCCTTTCATGTGCCTTGTGCAGTAGCGGAAAGATTAAATTACATGACCTTTTGGAGTCTGCAAACTAAAGTTAGGTGTGGGAGAGACAATAGGAGGAGAGGAGGACATGGGAGTCCAGCATACAAAAGTTAGAGGCTGGGGAAGCGTATGGTTGGGTTTTCATAGGGGGAGGAAGGAGAGAAGAGATGGAAAGATGGATTTTGAAGAGGGCTCGAGAAAGAATCAAGAAGTGAGGTGACTTCATGCAAGTGGTCTGGGAGGCAGCTCTTGGGGGTGGGTGGAGCAGGGCGGGTAAAAATTAATAATTAAAAAAAAACCCTGAAATTGATCTCCATCATTATTTAAATTAAACACAGATTTTTTTTAAAAAAAATTGAATGATCAAATTTTTTTAAAAAAAGTTGAAATTGTTATTTAAATCATATCCACCTTGGGTGGAGTATTTCATGGGGCGGGAGACCTTTGCCTGGCTGAGAGAGTGAACGCTGATAAAGTGCCGATCCGGAAGGCAAGGGTTGTTTTGACGTTCCAAATGCCGATCGGTGAATGCCAAGGGAAGGGAAACAGTGGATGATGATCCAGAGGCCTAAGAGCAGGTCTCCCTTCTCTTGGATCTAGGGAAGGCGGTTCACCAGAGGATGAAGAGAATAGGACAGCAATGTCAGCCACTTTGGAATCGCCCGGAGAATTCAGCCTCCAGGGCAGCTGCCCACACAAAGGGCTTTCGAAACTCCCCTGGATTCTTTATTGGGTTGCCTCGAGTTGACGAGGATTGGGCTCTGAAAAATGGCTGAATGCTTCTTCCAACCATCACTGGGATAATTGTCTGCTCCACAAGTCTTAATTTTGCTCTTTGTTACAGATACTTAATGGTTGCGTCCAAGTATTCCATGACGGTGATGATTTCTGTGATGATGCTCAGTTTCTACTATTTCTCCCGCCATGTGAGTAGCCGGCTGAATGCTTTCCGACTTGGGAATACCCCCTAGAGGTTGAATCATGGGTTGTTTCTGTCTCAAGTCTATCTTTCTGGGCAATGTCTTAGCTTTTCCAGCCAACAATACCTCTTGGATAGGCATCATATTTGTCTTTAACTTTTTGAGAAGCCTCAGATCCTTCTGAGCAAATCGGAGAGGAAGACTCCAGCGTCAAAGCCACCCCCCCCATGTTCTTTGGAAACCAGGTTTTTCTCCTCTTGCTCAGGATGTGTGGCTTTGCACACATCTAGGGACATGTTTCTCCATGTTCAGAAAAAAAAGCCTTGTGATTCTTAACAATACTGCTATAAAGACCAGTCAGCTTCACATCCATCCCAGGGAAAATTCTGCATCGGATTATAAAAGGTTCACTCTTCGAACAACTTGAAAACAATGCAGTAATACAGTGGTGCCTTGCTTAATGGGCGCCCCTATGGGGAAAATCGCTTTGTGATGATCGGTACCCTGTTTTGCTTACCGATCATCGCAAAGCGATGATTTTCCCCCAGCTGATCGGCGGTTCCAAAATGGCCACTGGGTAAAAAAAAAGGCTACCCTCTGTTTTCTGGGATGGATTCCTTACTTACCGGGCAGTGAAAATGGCTGCCATATGGAGGATTTTCACTTAAAGGTGAGTCTGAAGCCCATAGGAATGCATTGAAGGGGTTTCAGTGCATTCCTATGGGCTTTTTAATATTGCATAGCGACGAAATCTCTTTGCAGCGATTTTTGCTGCACCGATTATCGTCGCTATGTGAGGCACCACTGTAATTGGAAGTCAGCATGGATTTGTCAAGAATAAATCTGTAAGACTAATCTTATCTCATTTTTGGATTGGGTAACGTCTGGTGGGAATTCGGTAGACGTAATTTATCTTGGTTTCAGCAAAGCTTTTGACAAAGTGCCCCGTGGTGTTCTGATTAGCAAGATCACTAAGTATGGGTTAGATAGCCAAACTGCCAGGTGGACTGTGGGTTGGTTACAGAATCCTACTCAGAAGAGGATGATTAATGGCTCCTTCTCCAACTGGGAAGAGGTCACAAGTGGGATACCCCAAGGCTCAGTCCTGGGCCCGGTGCTCTTCAATATTTTTATCAATGACCTGGATCAGGAAATATGGGGAGTGCTAATCAAATTTGCAGATGTCACAAAATGGAGTGGCATAGCTAATCACCTGGAAGACAGAAACAAAATTCAAAATGATCTTGATAGGCTTGAACATTGGGTTGAAAACGACTGAATGAAATGTATCAAGGAAAAATGCGAAGTTCTACACTTGGGGGGGGGGAGGAACACCAAATGCACAGTTACAAGATGGGGGAGACCTGGCTCGGCCAAACTATGCACGAGAAGGATCTTGGAATTGTCGTAGATCGCAAGCCAAAGATGAGCCAACAGTGTGATGTGGCTACTAAAAAGGCTAATGCTATTTTAGACTGCCTAGTCTCTAAAACCCATGAGGTACTCGTTTCACTGTGTTCGGCACGGGTGAGGCCTCATCTGGTATCCTGTGTCCAGTTCTGGACACGGCACTTCGAACCCATGGGGTACTTGTTTCACTGTGTTCGGCACTGGTGAGGCCTCATCTGGTGTCTTGTGTCCAGTTCTGGACACGGCACTTCAAGAAGGATGCTGACCAGTTGGAATAAGTTCGGAGGAGGGCAACCGGGGTGATCAGGGGACTGGGAGCCGAGCCCGGTGAGGAGGGGAGCCTGAAAGGACTGGGGATGTTTAAGCTTGGAAAAAGAAGACGGAGGGGAGAGAGCGCGTTTTAGATGCTTGAAAGGGGAGGGGGGCAGGATCTGTTCTTGATCATCCTAGTGCGCAGGACACGAAAGAATGGGCTCAAGTTATAGGGAGCCCGATTTAGGCTGAATCTCAGGGAAAGAATGTGAACCGTTAGAGTCAACAGTCCCTCTAATTTTCTGCCAGCGCGGGAGGTTTATTTATTTATTTATTTGTGTTAGAGTCAACACTCCCTCTAATTTTCTGCCAGCGCTGGGTGGGGGCCCCGTTCCATGCACGGGAGGTTTATTTATTTATTTATTTGATTTGTACCCTGCCCATCTGGTCTATAAGACCACTCTAGGTGGCTGCGACTGGAAGCCAATGGGCAGCAACTTTGGCTATGGGTGTGGATCACCGGCACAGCACAGCGCGGCTGTCCAGCTTAAAGGGAATGTTGATTAGAGCAGTACAACTGTGGGACCCCTGACCTCGGAAGGAGGCGAGCGCTCCAGCGCCGGAGGCCTTCAATTGAAAATGAAGACCAGCTTCCGTCCTATCTGGTTTGATTTGGACCCGTGCCTTGAGCAGGGGGTTGGACACGATGCCCTTAGAGGCCCCTACTCAGCTCCCTTGTTCGACGATTCTAAGAAAGGCGCTCAGTGTTATTATTACCCATATTCTGCGTGCGGTGCTGTGAGAGGAAAGTAAACCTGGAGCGTTTATGGCAGACACAGGATCCAAACTGCGGGCTTCCAGATTTGGGTCTTAGTCCCTTAGCCATAAGGCGGTGGCAGTAAGATGTGGGTGAATACCGTCCCTCAAAATGGCGGATGGGTGTTGCCCACAGTTTCCCTGAGGAACGTTGCACCCGTGTTTTTTGAGAATATTGTTCCATGTCTTTCTCCAGAAGCGTGGCTGGTACAGATCCCAGACACGAGCAGAAGGGAGGAGGTTTCTGGCCTCGGAGGGGGTCCTGTCAGAACCAACCAGGGGCTTTTCATCATCTTCCTGCTGCATTTGCCCCTGCGGTGAAGGCAACATCAGCGTTGTTTGACTTTGAAGAACTAAGTTCAAATCCCTTGTGAGCCGCAGAAACTCACTGGGGGTTGTCAACAGCAAAACACTCTTTTTGCATCTTATATACCATAAAACCTTATAAGTCACCCTGAGTTGGAGTCACGTGACGCCCCATAAGAAAAGCAGGGTGTGCAGTTGATTTTGGTGCTGCATTGGTGGCAAAATCTATGACTTTTCTTTAAAACCTAAAAACAAGATGTAGAGGATGTATTCGCGAAGGCTTTCACGGCCGGGATCTAATGGTTGTTGTGGGTTTTTCGGGCTTCTTGGCCGTGTTCTGAACGTGGTTTTTCCTAACGTTTCGCCAGTCTCTGTGGCTGGCATCTTCAGAGGTCCAGAGCACAGGTTGCTGTCCTCTGAAGATGCCCATGGCC